GCTTCCTGCTCTGCCCTGGGGGCAGTAAGATAGGTGCTTCAAGATCAAACCTAGACCTTGATTATGTGACCTATATTGGGTGTCCTGACTGACATTGGCTGAACATGAAGTAGATGTAAAGTATTTGTGTTCATTGGGTTATGTTTGGTTCTTTCAGGGGAAAAAGGTCAAAGGTCTCGTTCTCATCAACCCCAATAATCCTCTGGGAGACATCTACTCTCGGGACTCACTGATGGAATACCTGGAATTTGCCAAGAGGTAGGAGTTTACCCCTTGAAATTAAACAAATTGCCATCAGTCATGAACACAAAGTCTGAACCAGAAGTAACTTTCCCTAACTATGCTTACTGCTTATTATACTCTTCAAAATGTTATACAACTAACTGAAATATCACTTCTTGTAGCATGAGCACTTTCCCAGAATCCACTTCCAAACTACTTGGCCTGAGGTGCCATGAAAGAGAGACTTGTCGAATGATGTGGGATGAAGATGAAGAAATGTCCTATTCCTAAGAACATTTCATATCTAACATGTCTGGAGTCCAGAAACAGCCCTGTTAGTGAGGGTAGATAGTCTTCTATTCTCTAGAAGCGATGCACTTGTCCAAGCCTCATATAAGCCAGAGCAATCAATAGCAGAGCATGGGGACAAGAAGAAGAACATTGTAAGTCCTGGGCTAGATACCGTAGAATTTGACAGAATTGGGTTCAAATTCCAGCTCCAAAAACTGCTAATAGAGGGTTATTAACTTTGTTTCATCTGTGAAATGGAGAGAACAGTACTGTCTCAAAGGGCCAATGGGAGAATAAACACAATGTACATCTAAGACTTAACCCACTTAATACCCCGAAGTAGTCTTTGCTTGAGGATTGAAAGGTTCAGTAAGATTTTCTCATGTGTGTCTTTTGGGTTCTATGCCTTCCAAGTACTCCCTAGCCATGTGTAAGGTCCTTTCTGGTGCACCAGCCCTTCTGCCTTACCATGATCTTTGGTGGAAGGGCTGCTGGGGCAATAGGAGGATCTGATCTGTATCCAGAATTGACCATAACCGAAAGTGAGTTAAGATATGAGAGAGAACCTTGATGTTTTCACTTTTCTGCCTAACTTGCAGGTACAACCTACATGTGATTATTGATGAGATATACATGGGGACTGTGTTTGATGAATCCATCCCATTCCACAGTGTTCTGAGCTTGGAAAGGTGAGTTGGTCTCAGCTGGAGTGGGAGTGAGAATCATAAACTGCTTTGCTGGATCAGTTTATGTGCCTTTAATTTAATTGGCTAAGTGCTTGGAACTAAAATAAGTACCAACTGGGATATGAAAACTAGCAAGGCCTCATCCATCCTCTCAAGTATCTTCTCTTCTAAATGCCATTTTGTACGTGAGGAAACCTGAGGGCAAGGTGGAAAGTGCACTATCAAAAGTTAAGATGGCCCTGGCCAGTGTAGCTCAGTTGGTTGGGTGTCCTCCTAAAAGATTGCTGGTTCACTTCCTGGTCAGGGCACATGCCCGGGCTGAAGGCTGGATCCCCAGTAAGGGGTGTGCAGGAGGCAGCTGATTGATGCTCTGTTCTCACATTGATGTTTCTCTTTCTCTCTCTCCTTTCCTCTCTCTCTCTAAAAATCACTAAAACATCTATTTTAAAAAGTCAAG